TAATAATAATAATAATAAAGCAATAACACTGCATAGAGTTACATGACAATATGTATCACAGAAACCAGTAATCTTAAAATAACTCATTTTAAAGCTATGTTCAAATATCAGCATTCATTTTTTTTCTGTACAGCTGAGTTTTTTTCACCCATTTGGAATGTCTTTTAAAATGCAGTGGTTAATAAATAAACTGCTTTTGCATTTGCTTTTAGGTATTTAATATTATTAATTAAATGTAAAGTAAAAATAGTTAATTTCATTTCCTCATTGCACCATTTCATTGCTAATGTTAGTAAATTAAGCTACAAAAGTAACATCATCTTACATGGCCCTATGATGCCCACCACCATTGCCTCAGTACCTTGTTTTTCACTTGGATGGCTCCATCTGTTCCTGGTAATGTAGAAGAATGAGAACTATCTTCAGAGTTTCTCTTGTAGAATAGCCCTGCAGAAGAGCAGAAGACTACAACAATCACTTTATCATTTAAGTAGAGATGTGTTGCTCTGTAACTGTTCCAGGGATCTGACATCAGTTCAGGTCTACTGTAGTTATATTTAGGGGAAACATTGATTTCTGCTCTTAGTACAGAAAAAAAGCATGCAAATTATTTTAAAGAACATAGCAAGCTCACATTGTTATAACACTGATCTCAGTAGAGAGATATTCATAGAGTCGTAGAATAATGAAGTTGGAAGGGACCTTTAAGGCCTTTGAGTCCAAACCCCATCTCAGCGCAGGAATCACAGTCAAAATATTCATTTATTCATTTATTTTATTTACCCTGCTTTAGATGGTTGTCCCACTTTTGCTTGAATGCATCCAGCATTTGAGTGCTCACCACTTCCCAAGACAAGTGGTTTCATTGTCATGCTGCTCTAATAGTTAGAAGGTTTTTCCTTAAATTCAATCAAAATCTGGTTTCCTATAACTTGAGCCCATTATTATATGCCCTGCACTCTGGAATGATTAAAAACAGATGTCCTTCCTCAGTATGGCAACCTTTCAATTATTAGAAGAGTGCTGTCATACCTCCCCTTAGTCTTCTTTTCTCAAAGTTAACATGCCCCATTCTTTCAGTCTTTCCTCATAGGGCTTGGTTTCTATTCCTCTGATCATCCTTGTTGCCCTCTTCTGAAACTGTTCTAGTTTGTCTCCATGACGACTCACGAACCACGAAGCTACCCCCATGAACTGACGAAGCATGAATTTATTCATTGATTCGTGGGGGGGAGGGTTACTAAAAAACCCTGAACTCCCACCACCCCCGTGCGCCGATGCCATCCCCACCAACGCCCACCCACTGTAATCGCCGCTGTCTCCAGCTGGCCTCCACAGCCATGGCTTGTAGAAAGGGACACTGGCTGCCCTTTGCAAAGATGGCAGCTGCAGCTTCACTTAGGGTAGGGAAGCTGCAGCTGCCATCTTTGCAAACGGCATCCTGGATTCCTAACTGCTATGGTATGGAGAGGAAGGGGGCAGGGGATAGGCTGTGGAGATGGGTGGATGCCTATCGGCTCACCGATTAATTGATTGGCGGGCTGGTAAGCAGAATGGGAAAGCCATAGGAAGAAAGAGAAGACTAGCCTTCCCTCTCTTCGTATGGGGGACAAATAAAAACGGGACAGTATTCATCCCTTCATATTCATCAGGGTCTTTGGAACTCACAAATATGAAGGGATGAATATTTAACGATCAGTGATTTCTGACAAATACATTTTTTAATTTGTCCTCTTGTCTAGTCTGCATCCTTCTTAAAGTGTGATGTTCAGAATTGCACGTAGCATTCATGCTGAACAGAGGGGGACTAGTACTTCAAGGGATTTAGAGATTATACTTCTGTTACTACAGCATCAAACAGCATTTGCCTTTTTTGCAGCTGCATTATATTGTTGGCTCATATTCAGCTTATGATCTACAGTTCCAAGATTGCATGTAGTATTACTTTGCCAACTATCCCCCATCTTGTAACTGTGCATTTTCTTTCTTTTTCATAGATATAGAACATTAAATTTTATTCTGTTTTCAGCCCAGTGCTTGAACCTGATGAAGATATTTTTGAATTTTGTTTGTCTTCCAAAGTATTAGCTGTTCCTCCCAATTTTGTGTCATCTGCAAATTTGATAAGCAGCCCCTGCACCCTCTCATCCGAATCAAATGTGTACCCAATTGATAGTTATTCTTTACAGCCATTGCCTAGTTAGCTTGCTAATCCGAATATAATGGGACACTGTTTGGAAAGCTTTGCTGAAGTCAAGATACAATATATCTACTACAGCAGCGCCACCATTTACCAGGAAGGTTACTTAATCAAAACATGAGAAAGGATTAATCTGGCATGATTTGTTTTGCCAAATCCTTGTTGGCTTCTTTTTGTAACTGCATTGTTTTCAAGGTGCTTGCAGAGTGACTGTGTCATAATCTGCTCCAAAACTTTCCCCTGAACTAATGTCAGGTTGACGGGTCTGTAGTTCACAGGTTCCTCCTTTTTTATCCTTTTTGAAGATAGGGACAATGTTAACTGTCCTCCAATCATTTGGCACTTCACCTGTCCTCCATGATTTCAAGAAAATAATAGTGGTTCTGAGAATTCTTCAGCCAGTTCCTTCAATACTCATAGATGCAGTTTATTGATCCCTGGAGCACTGAACTAATTTCAAGTAATAAGATACTCCTTGAATATTTGTTTATCATTTTCAAGCTACAATCTTGCCCCCTCTAATTGTACTTCACATTTGTCTGGAGGGTCATAGACTGCCTTTTACATGGGTGGGATCATAAGGGCTGCAGGGAGAATCAGGAATAATGGTTTCCCTCCCCATCCCTCCAGCAGGGAGCTTCCACTGAATCTCAGTCCCTTCTGAAAATGCATGGGAACTTCCATTCATATTTGAGTATACTTGAATCCAACCTATAAATAGGAATATCCCAGTATTAAAGTTGAGATTTTACTAGGCACGGACTGTCTCTCCTCATGTGCCTCATTCAAAGTATTCCATACATGCACGCAAAAGAAGGCCTCAATATGGCACAACTTACATCGGGCTCAAGATTTTTTTCCTTCTCAGTATATATTACAGATATTGCTGGTGCTACTGTGTGACTTTGCATGACTTCTGTCTGTTATTCAGTGCCATTTTGAAGCTCATCAAGAGGAAGGGATGGTGATTTCTCATATGGCTGTTGCAGGAGTTGGGATCTGGATTGCCTTCACTTCAGGATCGACACTTCGCCTTTTCCACACTGAAACCCTTAAACACCTCCAAGATGTCAACGTTGCTCCTCTCGTTCACAATATGTTGTCAGGTAACAGGTCTTTGTTGATTAGTAGTACTCCTGTTTTGTTCAGAATGTATAACTCTTGATCTTTGAGACACCCAAACAGAAATTTCTCATCAGAATGTAACTTGACTTTCCACCGTGACCCCTCAACTGAATTAAGAATTCAGTGAAATTGAAAATGGTAATGTTAACACAGTTCTGAAATTTTGCATCAAAAAGGTATGATGAGGTAATAAAATCGGCCTCCAGCAAATTTCTAAAGACTGTACCAGCAGTAGATACAACTGTGGCCATGACTACTTTTACATGGCATGAACAGATAGTTTCTTGTCCACATCTTACTGATTTATGGGGGCGAGGTAGTGAGAATTGCATGGAACGCCTCCCTGATTAAGATTTAAAAATCCAAGGTATTTTTTCATTCTAAATGGCCAGCTAGCCCCATCACCACTACACTGAGGACATAAAATCCATCTTTTGAATTACATAAATAAGGTACTGTTTAATGCAGCAATTGTTTTACATATAACATGCCCTTTTCATTTGAACAAAAGGGTAGAACAGCTTTTTGTATTAACTGGCAAAGCTGAGAGACTGTTGCACAAAATGTAATTGCTGAGCTCTCATGGGTATATCTAGATATGCTTTTCTTTCTTTGTCTCATTAACAAAACTTAACTTTGAGGCAGAAATGAGCTTTTCTATGGAATGGAAAGAAAAAAGCCACTTGGAAAATATTTATTCTTAGTTGTCATTGCCATGGAAATAAAATGAGACAGACTGTGTTTTTCTGTTGAAGAGTTTGGGTTAATTATATATATTTAAATCTCCTGATGGCATTGCCAGTACATTGTAGCAGCTTCTGTTTTATCTCAAGAATCATGTGTCTTTTAAAACTCTAGTATGGCGGTTCACTTAAAAATTTCAGAAGAGTCCTGTGAATCATACTGGGGCAAAATTTACTAAATAGCTAAACATTTGATATTAAATAAGTAAGTTGGGATTGTGTATAAATTGTTTGCACCATGATAAATGCTGAATGATGCTGATGACAACAACAGAAGAACAGATTGATCTCTATCCTACTATTATGTAAGCAAGGAGTATTACTGCTTACAAAATAGATTAAAGGAGCGTCAAAGCAAAACACCTGAAGCTTTTATATACCTCTGTTTCTTGCTTCCTTGAGGAGCCTGTGTGAAGTACAATTGATATTCATTTCTACTGCATGTTTTATTTCATCATCATCAGCCCCATTCCCATTGTCCCCAGTCCACCAAATCTTGGCTGGATTTAAATATCTGAATATTGGGTTATTTCCAAGGACTAAAGATATTCAAAGGTGTTTCCTTAAAATATATGCTGTTCCAAGTAAGACGGCCTTCTGCAATTGGTGTGTCAGGATCTCACTGATGCCTAGAGTACAAAGGTGGTTTTTTTAGGTCTTTTGCTATTGCACTTAAAGCACCAGTTACAACCAAAACGATTTTAGTTTTCTTTGGCCATAATTGCTCAATCTCAGTTTGTAAATATTTGTATTAACGATGCTGCTACTGATTTGATTGGTTCCACATTACTAGGGAAATATAGTCTTCGTAAAACTGCGGGACATGTCCTCCATGCAACCACGCAAGTGCCTCAACCTGCTGAGAGGCAAAAGTTAGTGTGAAGAGATGCTAGAATATGCAGAGATGTTGTAAGGCTTTGTACAGAGCATTTCAGAGTGGAGGAGGAAGTTCAAGACTGTTAGGAATAATTCTTGTGTTTTGTGTACAGTTTTTAACAACATAAGAGGTATAGGCTCACATTAATAAGATGAAGATGGCTTTTGATAGTCCTTGTTTTATACTTTAGACCAGTGGTCCCTAAACATTTTGCCTCCATGGACCAGTTTAGTGGGGGAGGGGTGTCTCCGTGGGTCCATGCATGGGAGGAGCTGTGCGTGCGGGGCAGGGGCCATGTGTGTGCCTATGTCTGTGGGGGAGGGGTCATGTGTGCATGGGAGGGGCTGTGTGTGCGTCCATGCGTGCATGGGAGGGACATGCATGCATCTGCTCATGGGGGGGCAGGACATTTGTCTCCGCGGTCCAGTCCTGGCAAGGCCAGGGACCGGGTGTTGGGGACCCCTGATTTAGACCATATAGATCAGTAATAATAATAATAATTAATGGGCTTATTTGTTATATCTTTGGAATAGTGGACAAAAAAATGGATATTCACACCTACCTCACTGTGCTTTTTCAGCATTTAGAAATGGAACGTACAAAAAATAAGTTTCTAAAACTCTGTATTCTGTTTTTCTGTGTGGTCCCCCACAACGTCTGATTTTGCAGAAATTATACAATAGGCTTGTAATTAAAATTCAGTTCCTCTGTTGTGCCATGTAGCTGTACCTAGCACTCAGGGAGGAAGGGGTGGAGTTGCTGGCTTGTAGCAGATAGGTAGATGTGCATATTTAATAGAACACAATTTAAAAATCAGTGGGCTAGAGGAATGTAGAAATATGTTTTTCACATTATGTAGGCTCTGTGAAGCACTGCTTATTAAATGAAACAGTCCTGCCCCCTGTTCAGATATTGTTTCAAAGCAGTCAGAAAGTACGGATCTTGTGCTTATGAGCAGAAATGTATGACTAAACTAAGGGAGAGACCATTTATTTGTGATTGTGTGAGAGACCTAGAATATTTATTTAAGACATTAAGAGTTGTATACATATATAAAGTCTCACATTGGAAAAAAGAATATTGCCTGTCCTCCTTCAAACTAGTTTGATGGGATTTGGCATGTGGCAGTAATCATAAAATTTAAGAGTTATAAATGGATTTAAGAGAAACAAATGTATGATGCTCAGTTTGCTAAAGAATGTGGCTTTTCAGTGTTCAAATCACATCTTCAGCAATTCTTATCATTATACATCGTTTTCTTTAATGTAATAGTGGGTTTGTTTTCGGGGTTTAATTATGAAAGTTTCTTATCCGTATTAATAATACATCTGACATCTTCAATATCCCATATCATTCTGATCCTCACAACAGTGCACAATGTATATACATATTTGGCTTAAGTACTGTACTCCGTGTGTCTGAGGAAGTGGATTGTAATCCATCAAAGCTCACACTGAATTAAATGTGTCAGTTTTGAAAGTGTCCAAATTCTTCGTTAATTATGTTGATGGTTTTAAAATTTTAAAATCATGGGGAAAGCTATGGTTCTTCTTCTTGGCCTCTGTGAATCACACTGTGGCTCATCTGCACCTGCGCAGAGCCTCTTATGAATATTCTAGAGTTTCTGCGATAGCAAAAAACACATTGGAATAGATCCCTCCCCCTCAGTATAAGTACCTTGGCGCCAGGACTCTCCTTTCACTTTCTTTCAACTGCTGGGTTGAAGAGCCTGGTACGTCTATCTTCTGTGAGTCTGAAAGAAACAAGTCCTTTTGACTGCTGAACTTTAAAAAAATTATCTTTATTATTAATCAAAGATACATATACGAACTGTTTTTAGTTTTCTTCTCCATACCTTGGTCTCCGGCCGTCGCACCCCCCTCCCTCACTCCGATTTTTCTTTTTCTTCTCTTTATTGTTCACGGCCCCTTTGGGCCCATTCAAGCACTGTGTGATTTGCGATAACAAGATCCTGCTATCAAATGGTCACACAAAGTGCCTTTTTTTGTTTAGGCGAGGCTCATCAAACCTCCTCGTGCCCTCAATATAAAAATTTCAAATGAGGAGTCCTCTGTTCGTATAAAAAATTCAAATGAGGAGTCCTCTGTTCTTGTCTGTCTCGACTCAAACTCCGCCTCTGGGAACAGTCTTTGCAACCGGCAAAACCTATGGTTCAAACTACGTGTAAAACCACATCACAAACTAAAGCCATGGGAAAAGCCATTGCAGACTCATTGAAACCTTGTTCATCCGCTACGCCATCTCACTCTGATGCGCCTTCCACTTTATCGAAAATGCCTAAGACGAACAGATCTAAACAGCTGACATCAAAGCCTTCCGGAAAGCGAAAGCCTTCTCCCAATCTGGTTCCCGGCCCCCAGCAACTGAAACAATCTAAACAAACCAAATCAAAAACCCCAGCAGTCCCTCTACAGCAGGTTTCCCGAAACAATCTAAACAAATCAAATCAAAAACCACAGCAGGTTTCCGAACCTGGCAATTTAATTTCTGTAGGTTCACCCTCTGATGATGAAGGACTTCCATCTCATCAACCGGCTTCTCAGTCACTGACATTGGACGAGCAAGTAGACTGTCTTACTTCCTCACCTAATAGGCCCCAGCATTCTATCTCTCCTCCTAATCCATCCACTGATGCCTCCCCAGAGAGAGAGGAACCTGAGCCTCAGCCGGACACAGTGCCCTATTCTATGCCATTGGGCCGGCCTCCACAGCCACCGGCACAGCCAGCATATGAGGCAATTCCACAAGCGTGTGTCGATCAATCCTGTGCACAGCATGCTCATCGGGTAGGCATTTGCCCCTATCAGTGCTTCTCTAACCTTCTGGCCGCGGATGCTTGACCAGCTGCCTCCTCCGGTCCAGTATTAGCATCACACCAAAAACCTCCATCTCTACAACCTTCTGTATTGAAGAGGACTTATCACTCAGAGGCATGCAGCCATCATATGACTCTTCATCAACCACCGGTGAAAATCAGGGCAGTCGAGAAAGACGCTTCCACCCGTGAAGCATTTGTAGCCCCTGTGATTACAGTGGGGTCTCGACTTACGAACGACCCTGCTTGCGAACAATTCAACTTACGAACCCGCCCTATTGGGGAAATAAGGACTCAACATACGTACTTCCCTCGAGTTACGTACAGGAAAAAAAATGCCCCCTCCCTCCCCTTAGAGACTTCTGGAGGGGAAAAAGGGTCAGAAACTTAAAAATAAATAAAAGAAAGTCACTTACCAGGCCTTGGTAGCCCCCAAACAGCAGGAAAAAGAGCAGGAAACAGCTAAAAGCCGACACCCAGAGGGGAGCCTGGCAGCCATTTTGTGCTGCCCCCCCCCTGCACCCTCCTCTCCCCGCCTATCAGCTGATGGGCTGGCTCTGAAGAGGCTTGGGAGGCTTGCTCAGCACCTAAAAAACCTGCCCGTGTGTCTTTGTGCTGAAAAAATCAGCACAACATGCTTTAAAACATGATTTAAAATCGGCTTCGTTGAAAAAAAAGATTTCTAAAGCGCTTTGCAAACTGTTCCCTGCCTTCCTCCTGGTTTCCTGAACCTAAGGGGGAAAAAAAAGAGAAAACGATCCCCCTCTAGTGGCAGGAGGCAGAATAGCAGCTTCCCATTAGTTTCTATGGACGGAAAAGAGCAGATACAGATTAAATGGTTTTCAATGCATTTCTATGGGAAATGCGATTTTGACCTAAGAACTTTTTGACTTAGAAACTGCCTTCCAATACGGATTAAGTTCGTAAGTCGAGACCCCACTGTACATATTTTCCAACTCAAAATGATGGAAATCACTCCTCTCACTCTGCATCCCCAGCCTCAATTTACTCTACAGACCTACCTATGCATCCACCGAATCGGCCTCAGCTGCCTTTTCGACACCGTAGAGACACTGATTCCAATATCAACAACCCTCAATTTCAATCCTGGTCAATGGACACTCCACTTCATTCTTTCTCGGTTCGTAGCCCTCAACAACGGCACCAACCTAGACAGGCAGTCCGTCAGTATCGAGATGCAGACTTTGACACCAAGATCCCATCTGGTTTACCTCCATCCATGATGTCGAACTCACCTTCAACATCTATACTGGTTGAAAACTCTTGATGTTGACAAATGTCCATGGACATGCCACATTCTTCAGTGGCAGAGCACTGTCAACATTACTCTGATCAACATCCTCTCGACACTGGGGTCAATCAACATTCTATCAACTCCAGGCTCAATCCCAAGGTCTCAGAACATGGTTCTCGACCACAAATTCTATCTGTGCTTCTCACATCGCCAGATTCCGACCTCGCAGATGTAGATCCTCCATTCCCAGCAGAGGATTTCCAAACTTACGCTCAACTCATGATCCGCATGGCTAAGTCATTGGATCTTCAAATCCATCGCCCCACAACTGAACTGGCGGATCAACTTTATGATCCTATTTCTAAGGACACAACTACCCCAGTCCATATTTCCATGCTATCATTGCTTCTTAGCACTGCTCAGTGATCTTGGACTAAACCAACCTCCTCTCACTCAGTCTCGAAAAGAATCGATAATCTCTATCAGATACATGACACTGAAGCACTTTTTCTCCAGAAACAGCCGGTCCCAAATTTGATATTTGTTGAGGCCTCACAATCGCGATCTAGAAACCGACAGTCCCTTATCCCACCTCACAAAAGCAGTCGAAGAATCGATTCTATGGGCAGGTGGCTTTAGTCATCAGCGGCTTTTACTATGAGGGTAGCTAACTACCAAGGAGCTATGGGGGCATCAGTGCTTCCTTTGGAATAACATGAGCACTTTTCTTGACTCATTACCAGAAGACAAAAAAGTATTAGCACAGACCTTCCAACAGGAGGTCTCTCTGTCGCCAAACAGCAAATGTTCTCTGCCAAATACATGGTAGACGCCACGGCTAAGTCCATGGCTACCTCTGTCGCGCTCAGACATTCCTCCTGGCTAAGAACAGCCGGGCTTGCGGAAGATGCCCAAGCACGTGTTGAAGACCTCCTATTTGATGGCACCAGTCTCTTTAATGCTGAAACTGATGACATCTTAGAAAACATTCAGAAGAAACGTTCCGCTGCCAAAAGATGGGGTGTCTATCCCACTTATCAGCAGCGCCCCCAACGCAATCAATGGAAGCGACCTTACAATTCCTACCAGAGGTTCCAACACAAACCCCAACGTCAGAACATCTACACACCATACTTTAAAGAACAACAATACAAACAAAAACCACACCGGCAACCTATCCAAAGGTGCAATGACCGGAAACCCAAACATCATGTTTGACGTTTTCCCGGCTGAGATCGCAAATCAACCCTTTCCTCTGGAAACACCTGCCTGGCAATCCATCACCATTGACACCTTGGTTCTTTTCATTGTCCAAAACGGATACCTCATCCATTTGCATCAACTCCCTCCAATGGGAGGGTCCCAAGCCTACCAATTCAAAAGACTTCCTTTCGGACTTGCAACAGCTCCCAGAGTCTTCACCAAGTGTATGACCCCAGTGGCTGCCTTTCTCAGACTTCAAAAGATCCTTATCTTCCCATACATAGACGACTGGCTCCTTGTAGCTCATTCCCACCACAAAGTTGCCGAGACACCTTTTCATCTTATCCCTCCTTTGTCGGGCCCCAAGCTTACCAATTCAAAAGACTTCCTTTCAGACTGGCAGCAGCTCCCAGAGTCTTCACCAAGTGCAACCCCCAGTGGCTGTTTTCCTCAGACTTCAAAAGATCCTTGTCTTTCCATACATAAATGACTGGCTCCTTGTAACTCGTTCTCACAACCTGCCAATACTTTAGCTTTAAAGAATGGTGCAAAATGAATGCCATATGGTGACCTCTAGTTACTATTACTGGACACTCACCAATTATAAAATACCAGTGACAAGAAGTTGAGCCTAAAGGGGAAGGAATGGGAAAACTGAAATTCACCCTGATGAGTAAAGAAATCTTGAACAGCAAAATTGCAGCTTTTCTCAGGTTTTTGTCTAGAAGAAGGAAAACTGTCTCCTTCCACTTTATCTTGATTGTCTTTGCTTTGAACACTTTCTTTCCATCCTGATTCATTTTCAGAGATGAGCAAGAACTACTTAAACCAGCAGAATATTTACAGTAAGGAAGAGAACCCATTTAGTTCCTGCTTTATATATAAAGAGTTTGTCTCATTGTGGTAATGTACTTTGTTTTACCAGCAGAATGTCTATAAGGAAATATATTTGACAGACTCAAATAAAAGTAGGAAACAGGTTGAAACTTGTATATATAGAAATGTGTCATAAATACAGTAATTCCACAGAAACAAGGAACAATATTTGTGAAGTAATTTTTTTAATCATCCTGGTTCCAAGTCCACTATATGAAAAGCACATTAGAATAAGGAAGGACCTGATAAGAGAAAGTAATATCAAGGTGGTGATAATGGATACAACTGCAAAATGGAAACTATTGGAAAACTTTAAAATAGCTCAGTTTGGTCTAGGCCAAGAGGGTGAGGGTCTTGTCTGCTTAATCTCTTCTAAACTAAAAAGAGAAGTCCTTAAGTGCTAACAAATCTTTGTTACTCTTCACAGAAAACACTAAAGAAGGGAGGGTGCAGTCACATAAATGTGGCCATGTTATACTTAGATTTGTTCATCATACCTGTAACCCATTTTCCCTTCAAAAAACTACTTGTTGACTTAGACAGGGACTCAATGTACAGGGTCCCAGCTGTTTCTGTT